ACAACTCATACTGAGTCTCTCCGGCATCGACAATGATTCGACCGCCCTCTTCCAATCCTCCCCTTACCCCCTCTACTATATACAAAGCCCCTCCACCACCTCCCACTCTACCAATACCACTGTGACCGCCGCCATCCCCCCACCCTCCTCCTCCGACTCTGGCGCCTTCCTCTCTCCCACCTTCCCCCCTCATCATCATCATGACTCCACTCGCGGCCGCCTCACTCTCTCGCCGTATTCCTCTTCCTCTCGGGGCTCGAACAACGACTCATTCATCGAGGAGACGAAGCATGAGATGATTGAATTGAAGCGAGGAAGTAGCTCTAATGGAGTCGAGGACGAAGAGGAGGAGGTGGGTAGTGGAGAGATAGGGAGGAGAAGGAGGAGAACAAAGGGTTTAATGGAGAAGCTAGTGGTTTTGGATTCAAATGAGTCTTTGTTTTGTGTGGTGCTTCAGATTGGTTGGAGGATAACAGTGAGTTTGTTATTGGCTTTGCTTGTTTTCTTCTTGGCTACCAATCCTCCTAAGCCTGAGTTATCCTTCAAGGTTAATTTCATTTAAATATTTTAATTGAATTTTCCTATCAAATTAATTACATTTATAATTTCAGACACGCTAATTACCATCGAAACAGTTTTCGCCGGAATTTCACCGAAAAGAGGAAATTTTCGACGAATTTGTAGGGTTACCGGCGGATTTGTGTGCCGGTAACAGAGCGTTTTTCTGTAGTGTCCGATATCTTTTTTTTTTTTTCCTGGCACAGATTGTTAATGTTAGGCACTTCAGCCTTGGGGAAGGATTGGATGAGACTGGAGTTCCTACCAAAGTGCTTTCCTTTAACTGCTCAGTGGACATGGAGATTGTTAACAAATCTAAGTTCTTTGGTTTGCTCATCTATCCTCCATTGTTGGAGATGGATTTTGGCAGTCTAAAATTTGCCAGCTCGCAGGTAAAAAATAAAAGAATTATTGTATTTATAAAATATTTCTGGCTTGTAATATTAAAATCATATAGAAGTGATTAACATAGATTTGTAAAATAGATTTGCATAAAATGGATAGAAATATTGCAATATATTTTGTGTAAGATAACCTTCATATCTAAAATAGCACTAAATGAAAAAATAAATTACATATGTAACATTCAAATCTTACATAATTACAAAATTAAAATCTAACTATCAATATTTTCAATAATACCACTCATCAGATCACTAAGAGCTCAACAAAGTCCTATTGAAATTTTCTAGCTTTTGCCAAATTCTGATTAAGGCTTTGTTTGGGACGGTTTTTTTCCTGCTTTCTAAAATGGAGTTTTAGTACAAATTTTTTTATTTTTTACTCAAACTCCGTTTTAGAAAGCAATAAAAAAGCCGTCCCAAACGAAGCCTAAGGCTTCCTTTGGGGTGGTTTTCTTATTGCTTCTTAAAGCAGCTTTTTAATTTAAAACTTTTAAATTTTTTATTAAAAAACAGCTTTAAAAAGTAGTAAGAAAGTCGTCCTAAACGAAAGCTAAGTTGATCTAGTTTTTTTTTTATAGATATTAAATTTATAAATACGCATCATTTTTATGATATCTAAGCAATTCTCCCATAAAAACATAATGATAATTCATTTCATCACAATACGCTTTGTATGATACAAAGGATAAAACTACATGAATCATTTCTTTGTTTTTCAAAATACAACAACAGTTTTTGTTTGATCATTACTTTCAGAAACTTTTTATGTTAGAAAGTTGTTTCTACTGCTGCAGCTTTTAAAAAAATTACTTTCTCCACAATAATTTTATGACTATTTTTATAAAAAATTACAGCCCTCTCAAACGAAGCCTAATTAAAGAGATTTTGTTTCTTTCTTTAGAGCCAAGCAGCTTATGTTGAAAGCACAAGCTCTTCAATAAGGCAACTCTTCATTGGCCTGAAGAACAAGCCGATGTACGGTGCAGGGAGGAGCATGGAAGACTTGCTTGAATCAGAGCAAGGTTTATCACTAATGGTTCAAATTCAAACGCGATCATCATATCGAGTTGTTTGGGGTTTGATAAAGATCAAACACAATCATTTTGAAAATTGCGTTGTAATTCTGCAAGCAATGCATAATCCCAAACTTTACACTAAACTGCACAATAGCAGTTGCTCCCAGGCTTGAAGAACTCTACAGGAGAGAGCAGATGAAAGAGTTCTGTTGTTATTGTTTTGAGGAGAATTATGGACAGATTTTGGCTTTGTTTGGGACGGTTTTTTTACAGCTTTGTGAAGCTATTTTTTTAGTAAAAAATTCTCTTGAAAGCAGGATAAAAATAATAGTCTAAAGCTATCCGGCCCAAACGAAGCCTCCTTCTCTACAAAAGAGAGTCATCTGTGTGGTTAAAGGTTATTATTTGTGTGGTTCCTTTGTTTTTTGGAAGGCAATATTCTGTGGTTGAAATGTTGTTGAAATCATATATATATATATATATATATATAGCAATTTGAA